GTAACAAGTGAGATGACAACATGAATCTACAGCCTTCGGAAGTTGTACAGTTGTAATGTAAAATGATGCTAATTCTCCCCGAGCTGAAAGGGAAATGGAGCTGAACAGTCAGGCGAGGTCGCTGGGAGCTGCAAAGAATAAGACTCTGTGGTTTGAAATTTATTGTAAAGTGGAATGGATAGTTTTTCTAGCACAGCATATTGAATCACGGTGTGTGTATTTAATCCACCATCATCACAACTACTTTATTTCTTTCTTTTGACCAAAGATTGGACCAAGAACAGGTTAGAGGTCATAGGTCATCTGTACACAGAATGTTATTCAGGAACAATGTCGATAGAAAGATGGGAATACTGGGGTATAAAGGGTGATGGTGAACATGTACTGTGCTGTACTGTACTGTACTGTACTGTGCTGTACTGTACTGTACTGTACTGTACTGTATGTGATAGACAGTATGTATGTCCATTAATGTGAATCTAAGAAGTAAAGGTTCACACAGCTGTTTAGGTTATGAAGTGTATCATTTCCAAATATTGTTCAGACATATATGTAGTAATGAAAGGCTTCTGTCATTTTTCATTTTTGACTGAGCCGAGGCTAATGTTCATCCTAATGGTTTACCAGTAAAAAATGTCTGAACTCATCCCAGTCCCTCATCCCAGTCCCAGTCTTCATTCATTCCTGCCGTCCAACAAACCTTACCGGCACCTCTGTGCACCGGCTGACAGGCCTGAACCAGCCTGACCCTGTGGACACCTCACTCTTCTTCATTCTCTTTTTAGACCTGTACTTCACTCTTCCCTGTTGCTGTACTTGAAGTATTAGGCTGTTGTATTTTACCTAGTAGTAATATTTACTATCAGACTCCTCCTCCAACAACAGCTCATACACAGTACTGACCCTGAACACGGTCAATGTTCTGGATGTTTCTTGTCAAACGTGTAAAGTTCTTGTTTTTATAACTGTACGGATTTTAAAGATGGCTTCGGTTCAAGAGCCTCATAAATAATCTCAGAACTTCAATTGCGCTGATGCAGCCCAGGGCAGCGACTCTGCCTTCAGCTAACGTAATCAAAGCAGCTGTTTGGAGATCTGAGGAAATTCACTCAGTTTACAGACTTCATAAATGGAGCAGGTGTGTTGACCTCTCAGTGTAAAACAAGGTTGTTTTCCTAATTGCTCTTTGTTTTTCCTAATGTCTACTCTGTATCTGCCTCTTGTGTTTAGTATTGTTAATAAAACTTGATTGAATTAAAACTTCAGCCAAAAACACTTATACTGTATATACGTTGCCAGGAAGTCTATTAAACTTAACCAACAGCTTGGCAGCAGCCGTCACTGCTTCAGGGAAGTTAAGTTTGCAGCTTTTGTGTACCTTCTATAAAGCAATACATCTTTACTGTGCCAACTCTGGTTTTATACACACGTGGTGTGTGATAAATACCCATACAGTGTAGGTTTTATTCATGTATTTACTGTGTACATACCCAAGGATCAACTGTGCTGTGTTTTTTCATTCATATTGAGGTCTGTTTTTCTTCTTTCTTGCCTCCAGAGCTAAGCTAAGTGTGGGTGTGTTTGTGGTTGAATAGTTTGCTCAGAGCATCTATGAATTATCAGTCAGAGGAATCACCTGCCTCTCACGACAATCCTTGGTTCCATCTCTCTCTCCCTCTCTCTCCCCCTCTCTGGTTGCCGTGTCACGTGACCATCGTCATCATTTTGTGGAGACTTTGTTGCGTTGCTGCCGTGGCCTTGAACGTTGTTGCTCACTCACTCAGCCACATTCACAGCAGGGAAACTGCAAATGACTGCGTGTGCACTTTAATTCCACATCAATTCCATGATGACCACAAAGCCTACTAATCCTCAGCCTCATGTTGGTGTGTACCTTCTGCTGTGTGTGCGTGTGTGTGTGTGTGTGTGTGTGTGTTCCATTTCAGGTTGGGATTGTTAAGAGAAATCAAATCCTGGTTATTACAACCTTTTTACTGTCGAATAAATCTCAATACGTGGTAGAAACGTAGAAACCTGGCGCCTCTAAAGCCGTGGCCTTGTCTGAAATACATCGGAAAGTGATGGGTTTATGTTGTAATGTTGGCTCACTCTCCCACATTAAAACATTTAGTAATTTAATATTAATAATAGCCACTGTTGAATATAACTCACTCCTGACGCGTCTTGAATGTTTCGATGTGTGTTTTGGCTTCGTCTCAGTCTACTTTGGTGTAGAGGAGTGAAGGACGTCAGGAAATGTAGTTTCCTTTTGACAAGGGCGTCTGAACAGAGAAGAAGCAGTGAACCAGTGGTGACGACATGGACAGATCATAGATTACATTGTACTACAGTACATCTTATCAGTAGTCTTTTTTTGGGTCCTACCTTGTACAGAATACTCTTCTTTTTTTTTTTTTTTTACAAATTGATATGAGTATACTGATTTGTGTTCTCACTGATACTGAGTACCAATACTATTTCCATTTATTCATTGGGTAACAGGAAGTGTGTGTGTGAACCAGTTTTATTGTCTACTCATTTACAGAAGGCTGTTCAAACAGACACTGTCGTATTCATGCCATATATGTCAGTCAACATATCAATTAAACTAAGGATACAATGCACAAAAAGTCACCCAGCCTGCTGAAAAGATCCGTTTTTCTAATAAGTGACTTGGTGACGTGTGTCCCCCTCATCTGTCCAGGGTGTTGTTAGACTGAGAAGAGATTTGTGGTTTTGTATCCAGAGCTCTTTTGCTGTTTTTTAAATCAATATTCTATTATTTTGTCATTATTTATAAATTGCTATTTTTTAATAAATTGCTTATATAAGTAATGATGTTAAAATCCCAACGTTCCTGTTCAATCCAGAGGTTGTTCAGAAAATGGTGGGGAGGACGGGGGACATGGGGGGTTCTCCTGAACCCACATCATTCCTGTGCTGTCATAAATATGAAACAGAGGTCTGTCACCTCACTAATCTCTGACCAGAGTGACCAGTGTCACTGGACACTGTCAAAACATCTCCTAATCTGGCTCACTGATCTAAAGAGATCACCTCAGGCCACGGTGTGTTCAGTGCCAACGTAAAACTGACTCACATGATCTTTACCTTAGACTAGTCCTCCAGAAAACTGATCTGACCTGGTAGATATTCCTAAACTCAAACACTTTATATACAATATTAATTACAACGCTTGAGAAAAATTATATCGGTAAAAAAGTTCTTCCCCAAACAGAGAAACCAGTGTCTTTCCACTCGTGTGTTAAAAACAAATCTGGTCTTTTCAGGACCATTTTAAAACATTCTGGTAGTTTAACAGATCTTCATCAGTGCTGAAGCCTCGTGGTCCCTCTGACACGCTCGTCTCCGTCAGGGTCCTCCCAGGACCACGGGCCAACCACATAATCACTTCCATGAGTCCTTTCAAACGTGCGTCTTGAGCCGCCCCGCGCCACAGTTTGGTAAAAGGCAGCTAATGGTTGCCTGATACTTGTCATCAGGTTTGATTATGTTCACCAGCTGTTGTTTGTCATCCTTCATTAGTTTTTACTTCACGCTCAAATGATCTGTGCTGCACACTGACCTCCTGGAAATAATACTGTTGACAATTAAGACGCGGGGGCTCACACACCCACACACACACACCCACACCCACACACAGACACAAACTCATACGTATGTGATGAGGTCATTTTGTTAAAATAAAAACTTTATTCACTTTTTTCTGGGTTTTTTTATTTAATTAAAAACTGCTAAAAATCGTCTTTCCCTGACTGTAACAGCATGTGGTGCATTTTTTGTTTTTAGTTTAGTAGTTTAGTTTTATTTTAGAGCATTATTATGAAGACAAATCACAAATAAATTCTCTTTTGTATTCATTTATAAACATCTAAACCAAATCCTCACATCATCCACCTGGTTACCATGTGAAATGAGAACAAACATGGAGCCAAACTTCAACTTCACAGACTGATGCGTGAAGGTGGCTTAGATTAATGAACGACAGGGTGGGAACAGTTCTGAACAGTTGTGGTCCAGGCTGTGCCTTTATATCAACAGCCAGCAAATCCTTTTTCTAGTGAAATCAATTAAATAAATTAATTTCTCATTTTAATTGTGAAACATTCATATGTCAAAAACCAGCCCCAGACTTCAGGTTCATTCTTAGTAAATAAAAGTCCTGACCCTGGTCCACCTCAGTTGCCTTCACACCTGAGGTCATAGAGAACGATCATTTACCCACACGTAGGTGACTGTGAAAGGAAACCCAACACAGAAAAAACATGACATGACTCTGTTCACAGAGGCCACGTCTGAACTGGGACGACCACCAGCGACCTGCTGTAAGCAATCAATCAAACCACCGCTCCACCGTGCTGCCCTGTCACTCAGTTCAGATTTGTTGTGTTGTATTGAACTCCTTTGTTCAGAAGTCCTCGTGTTTAGATGTATTAAAAAAATCTGACTTTTAACCAGTTAGTCCAGAGTTGGAACTATTGTCAGATTTTTTTACTACAAGACCAAGTACCAGGGAGCATGGACAGTACCAGGATATAGCTGTATTTTAAACACCGGGACCAAGAACATCATGAGAATGTTGGGCTTCTTCACAGGTCCACAGATAAAACTAATGTGGAGTCATTTTCAGATTGAAGTTCGCAGTACACATCTGCAAGCATTTGGATATTTCCAAAGCTCTCTCTGTAGCCACGGTGGTAACTCAGGCAATATTTCTGTTACCTGATAACAATTCCTGCTCATAAAGCTACTGATACTCGGCAGTTAAGTCACAGCTAGTGTTACAACCTCTGCTTAAACGCAGCATATACTGTAGATAAAAGGAGTAACTGCTGGCAGCTGTGTCTGAATTCACCGACTGCGTGCGACTGCATTTAGCTTCTGGAAATTGTTAGACGGATTACATTACAGGGCTGAGGCCTGGCCCTCATTTTCAGTTCAGCAGTATGGGCTACAGTGGAAGGCAATCGTTTCCAAACAGTTAAACCATATCTGTAGAACGAACGGAGCAGCCGCCATAAAATCACCTAATGAACTGTCACACAACTAGTGGTGAAGCAGTGCCTCTACTGTATATGTCCTTTGGGCCAGGGGTTCCCAACCTCCGGGTTGGGGACGGTATTAGTCCGTAGATCATTTGGTACCGGGCTGCAGGGGGACTGAGTGAAAAAATGTACTTCAGTTGTACTAATTTACTTCATTCAAAAATGTTCCAGTCATATCCTTTATAAGAATTAAGTGCAAATGTAAGAGTTCCCACTGTTTGATTATATTTTATTTTATTTTGAAAGGTTGAAAAACCTAATTCTATTTAGAGTAACTTGGCAGAGATATAAAGATAAATCCAGTCTGATGACGCCCTGACAATCGGATGCTTTTCCAAAACATTTACAGTCTTAGAACTTGTTTACAGTACGAGCTTGGATCCGGTGTATGGAATAAGGCTTTGAAACAACTCTCTTCACGTTTAATCTGCATCAACGTTCCCCCACCGACACGACTTGATTAGATTTAGTGACCATAACATCATGTCAAAACAACTGCCTCTCTTTTATTTCTGTCAGGAATGGTATCACTTGGATTTGCTACGGCCGTACAAAGGGAAAATTGGAAGAACATGAGCGGGCCTTTGAGCCGCACACGGCATGCTAACAGGTATGAAGAGTCTCGTTTCCTGTGCGCGTGGTTTCAGTTAATGGTGGAAATTGTTGGGTCGTGGCATGAAAACGTGATGTTTTTCCTCTTCAAAAACTCTTCACAGGTAAAACGAGCAAGAAACGTCTGTGGTTTTTATTTCTATGAATACATCATAGGATAGGATTTCAACGATAGTTGACTCTCGAGGGCAGACGGACGACGCAGTTCTGGGCTTTAAATTCATTGGGAGAAAAACACACACACACATACACACATGCCATACTGTTTGCTGCTAATTTCACAGTTTGAACATGAACTTCTCTTCACTAATCAAATAAGTCCTAATCAACAACGGCTAGAACAAATTAGGAACGTTTACATAAGGATCTGGACTTTAATGTGAAACTTATTGTAGTTGTTGGCTTTCAGACCCACGTTAACTACAAATGATTGGAGAGCAATACTTCATACGTCATGGAAATATAGACACTATATAGTTATAAATACTACAGTAATAACCAATTCAACTAAACTGCACATCAACATTTTACTTAACTCTAGATGTTGGTTGAATTTTGACCAGTCAGATAAACAAAATACCAGAGTCTAAGGAACGTTTCTCACTGGATCACATGACCTTTAACACATGAATATTAGAATACTACAGATAGTTGTTCTTCAAATGTACAGTTATACTTTTTCTAACAATATAACACTCGATGGACAATAATCCATTCTGTCTTTGGCCCTGTCCTCTCCCTTCCTTCTCCCTCTACTGGAAGGATCTGGAATGACAAACAACTGAATGTCTCTTTAGCCAATATTTGCATAATGAGTCTTGACACCAGAAAGTATGTAGATTTTGTAGGAATGTCGGCTTGGAGGGAATATGTGCTTCTCTTGAATATCATCCTAAGACTCCATATAAGATGTAGGACTCACGGCAGGGAATATGTGCTTCTCTTGAATATCAACCTAAGACTCCATATAAGATGTAGGAGTCACGGCTACGAGGGGCTTGAATATATTCAGATCTTTAGTATTAGTATCGATACTAAGTTGGGTGTCTTATTGCAACAGTGAATTGTTGGGTTTTTTTATTTAAGAAGAAGTAAAATCTATGAAACTTAGACTTAGACCAAGGTAATATTTAAAAATCATAACATTTCTTCAACAGTTACAGTATTATGGCTGCAGACTACGCTCTTTCTTCATCAAGGGGCCTCCTCCGGCTCCATTGTAGAGTTATGTTCTGCATCGTCCGTCACCGTACGTGAGGACACAGAATGGACTGGTGACCACTGGCTCCCCTCCTCACAGGGAAACTTTTTGTTGTTGATGTTTGGTCATCGTCTCCGTCGGCTTAGTGTGTCACAGCCTGTAAAGCCACATTAGGGGAGAGCGGAGTTGAAGGGTTCAGTGTTGAAAAGAGGGTGAAGACCTCTGCGTGGACAGAATATAAAGCACCTCAGTGTGTCATTCTCCTCCAGCTATTATTGCATTAAACAGGGTGGGTTTGTCTCCGTGGGCCATTGTGAGACCAGTTACTCATATTTACCAGGACTTCTTTCTCAGCTGTAGAAAATATAGCCCTAAATAAGAGGGGGTTTCTGCAACAGACCAGTCTGAGGGAAGTTAAGAAGAAAGTTGATTTATAAAGTAGTTATTGATGGAAATTACAAAGATATGTATTTGAATATACTCAATTTAGGTATAAATACTACTGCAAACAGTATTGTCCATTAGAGAATTCCTTCCGAAATAGAATTCATTTCCAATGTTCTCTCAGTTTCAGGATTTAAAAAAAACATTGCATCAAAACCAAAGCTAAATAATCCACACAAGTTTCCATTCAAGTTGGAAAAGAAAAGTTTTTAAATTGATCCTTTTTGAGGGTGGAAAAAACTGTTAACATTACACAGTTCAATACTTGACTCTAAATCAACCAAAGCTGCTCCAGACACCTGAGAGACCTGTCCTGTCTTCTGGTAGCTGTTGGACACTTTTGAAACATTTTAAGGTTAGGGTTGAATATATACAGTATGTCGCCCCCTGCTGTCAGAGGGTAGACACCAGATCTGTGGTGTGAAGAGCCTTAGCTGCTGATCAGGAGATAAAAGTTCCGAGAGTTTATCCTTTCAGCTGACCTGAGGTCGTTGATAACTGTAGTTCACCTACTGTATTACACCGTGATGTGTACCAAATAGAACAGGAAGCCGGATTCCATCTCATCCTTTCCATTGTCGTCTTTTAGGCTCCATCCCTCCACGCTGCCGTCGTCCTCCACAGTTGGTAGACATTAGCAGAAGCAGCGATGGCTGTGGTGATAACCACAACGACTGACTGCTGCTGAGCCTCAGATTTAACTGTCACCACAGGACCACCAGGTGAGTTTAATTACACCGCCGTCACCTCTGACCTCTTAATGACCTGTTCCACCTCACTGCCATGACCTTTGCTCACCACACACACACACGCAAACAGACACACACACCTGTCCTACTTTGATGCTACACAAACCACACTGTACCTAATTGTCAGCCTGCAGTGTGACCACCGTGCCCACCCTCTGTGGTCACTGTGATAGACTACTGAACAGAGACCACTGACTGAAGACCACCGCTCTCCTTCAGTTGGTCTGATTCCCTCGTCTTTTCGTGCCTGCGTTTTGGGTTACAGAGGATTTGGCTGTTAATGAACCTGCAGATCTGGAGGTGAATCGTCACCAAAGCCTCAGCCTCTTGTTGGTCTTGTCTTATTTGGCCCGCAGCTCAGACTCCACCTGCCAAAATAATTTACGATCCTTTTAGGAGAAATAGTGCAAGGGAAGTTGAAGGCTGAATTTCTGGCCCCGACACTATTACAATATTTCACGACCATCAGGCTATCCTAGTGATATCATAAAACACATTTTATCACCACACTTCCCTGTCCATCTACGCTGTGTTCTTTTTTATTGTTTATTACAGTTTCTGTCTGCGGCCGGTCAGAATTTAGGGCCCTGTCTGGAGGCCACATTCTGCTCCTGGCTTAAAATTGCTGCAGGATGAAAGATCATGGTTGAAATGGTAGTCGTTTTCAGATTGAGTGAGCGTTTAGGTGGAGGCTTTTGTTCAGCTTGCAGGATTGGGGCTCCTAGAAACTCTGGATTTGTTGTTTTTGATGTCGGATAGTGAAGAAAATCAGCTTGTTTTCTTTTTTTAATGGCGGCTCAACAATGCAGTGATAAATTAGATCCTCTGATACTGTAACACCGAACCAACATTTGTAGTTGAACATATTTTTTACATCAGTGACAGAACCTTCGTACACACTGCTCTGTGAAAATCTGATAAGTCTATATTTACAATGTCCAGGTGGTGGACAGTGAGGATCAGAAGGACAGACTGTAGGGATTATGTAAATATTATACTGTCGTTGTCGTTTCATGCAGGCTAACTGCTGTAAAGATGGAGTTGTTTTTCTACACAATACTGTCCTAAAGGCAGTACACCTACGGCTGGGGGAATATAGTCTTTCAGTTTATACTTCTGTACAAAATGTTCCTCCAGAAAGCCTTTAACTGGGCTCTAATAACTTTGGAGCAGTTTTGACAAGGTGTTTTTTTTTTTTACAATGCTTTTCAGTTGCAAAGAACCCGTTAAACTCACTGATGCAAGAAAAAAAAAAAACTCCACAGACAACACTGTTTTACAGGACGCTCTCTCACTGCGGAGTACAATTCAGTTTTTTGTTGTAGTTTCCTGTGTGGACCGAGAAGTCAATAGTTAAATTTAGGGCCTCACCATCCTGCATTGTCTGCACACCAAGGACCTTCTCATAAAAGCTGCTCATAAATCACACTGTTATGGCCCAACAACGCCGCTGTGTCTTTTGTGTCTGTGGAGTCGTTCTCTCTCTCTATCGTCGTCTCTCTCTCTCTCTCTGTCTTTGTCCCTCCCCGGTCCAGGCAGACACAGGTGACTGTCGTCTGCCTCATCAGTGGTTGTGCTTTAAAAGACAGAGTGCGATGGCACTCGTGGCCACTTGGCCATGGTGAGTCAGCAGTGGCAGTGTGGTGTGGGCTGTTGTTGTTGTTGTTGTTGTTGTTGTTGTTGTTGTTGTTGTGCATCATGTCCAGTGAGTTGGAGTTGGTTGCTAATGTCCCGCCCTTTTTCTCTGTGTCTCACTAACACTGAGTAGAAAAGGTTCTTGGTCTTTTATGTTTTTTCTTTTTATATACCATACTTCTCTGACCCACTCCCTGTAGACCAGTGCTTTACAAAGTGGCTGGAACTATTTAGAGACCTGTTCAGTTTCTTTTTTTTTTTAAATTTGTGCCATAATAAGTTAATATAGTGATTTGCCATTTTATTTCCCTCGCTCAATGGAAATACAAGTTTTGTCCTAAGTTTTTCTTTTTTTTTCCCCCGTGTAATTTTGAAGTAATAGCTTACAGTTGTCTGTAGGGGAGGCTCAACAATAGCACTGTCTGTTGTTTTTTTGTATTTAATCATTAACTGGATTGAGACTGAAGTCTGTGTCCTCTTTTTGTCCCAGTGTAACTTTACTTCTCCGCTGCCTTCATTCCATGTATCAAACCAGGGAAAATAGTGTTAGCAGCATGCTAACTCCAAATCACCTGTCATGGATGACATGTCTGTGGTTGTTATGTATGTGATGCTGACGCGGCCTCAGTACAGACACCAGTTAAAACCCATTAGAAATGGATCCTTAATATCAGTCAAAACATGTCTGCTGGTAGGCCGCCGGGCCGCGCTCGAATATCTTAAACTCCTGCATCAAAATCCATTAAGAAAATCAATATTTTATCTTGTGCAGATCAGAGCTCTGCCAAAATAGACTCATGTAATAAAATCTACCCTCGCTTTTAACTTCCTTCTTAAATTGTAGTGTTTCATTTTTAACATGAAACCAAAGACTGTAAATATTGCCCTGTGTAATATACAGAGAGTCCAGGTAATAACTTTTAACCAAAGGTGACACCGGACTTACTGGTGAACTGCTGCAGGATGTGCATCATTTCATAGAATTTTTGAAGTACAGTACGTGAAAAGAGGCACTAACTGATTTAATACTCTGTCAGCTGGTAAATTCTAGATTTAGATAAGATTTAAAATGTAAAAGTGAAATAAAGTAGGGTTTTAGTTTTATTTACAGTATCCTAATGTACACATCCCTGGTAAATCTGATTCTAAATAAAGAAAAATATTAATAATATAATCAGTGGTATATATATATATATCTGTACCACCTGAGAAAACACTGATCTCTCTGAGTACCACCATGATGACCAACATTAGAATATAGCAGCAGAGGCCTTCACTGTTAGCTTCCACCACAGGAGAGATGTTTAGAAAGATGTTTATGTTTCAGTGTTGTATTAATTGTCCATGGTTTGTTTCAGATTTATTCAATTAATGAAAAACAATGAAAATGTGAAAATGTGGATTTTCCACTAAAGAGCACTCGCGTTCCATCAGTAATGAAAATGTGAAAATGTGGATTTTCACTGCGTACCACTAAAGAGCACTCGCGTTCCATCACTGGTACGCGTACCACGGTTTGAGAGCCACTCAAATATGATATAAATATAAAACATGGAAAAAGAAGGTTCTAGATCGTGGCAAGTGAAGCCATGTTTGATCAGAAAATCATTTTAACCTACTTTGTAAAATTCTCTGCATTAACATGGCACAAAAATGACATTTCTTTGTGATCTCGAACAGATGTTATTTTTCTCTAATATATACTGTTTATATTTCTGCTAAAGTACACACACACACACACACACACACACACACACACAGCCCAGTATAACAGGCAGGTGTGTTTGTTCCAGCGAAGCTGCTTTCCAGACAACACAGCACTTTAGCTTTTTAACGTTCCCTCTACTTTACAACAGCCTTGGGGGGAGTAGAGGGCACCCCCCTCCCTCCCCCCCCCCCCCTCTGGAGCTGTGGATCTGTGATGTACAGTCATGGACACTCTTCACAGAGGCCCAAAGCTGCTCCATACACACATTACCCTGTGTAAACATTGCCAGGTTCGCCTGCAGAGCTGGGGAGCTCGGCTCCACCGTCCAGAAAGCCCCCTCTCCCTGTGCTGCTATAAACCCCACACCTGACTCCAACTTCAAACACACTGGGATTTTCTAAGTTAGCTACAAAAGTTCTAGCGTGACAGAGGGGACGAGAAGTTTCCAGGAGGTCTTTGGAGCAGTCACATGCTCCATGTGGCGACTCAAGGTGACTTGGTTCAAGGTGACTCAGATCTTGCTGAGCTCATCCTGGAGAGGACAGCCTCACAGAACCTTGGATGGTGAGGAAGTTTAGATGTGAAGGGGTTTGAAGTCTGTAAATAGTGCGGTGACTTTAAAATATGCTGAAAAAGCACAGACCACTGATGGTGAACCAGTGTACTGCAACAAGACTCGCGAAGACAGAAACAACTGATGATGGATGGATATCTGATCAATACTTTAGTCTGAATCACAAGTGTCAAACTCATAAATACAAAACCCTTTTGTGTTATCATTTTAAGCTAAACTTTGGGAGACAGTTGTATGGCAATTGGAATACAAAGGTCTAAATAGACCATCTATAGCACGTGTATCAAACTCAGGCCCAGGGGCAAAATCTGACCTGCGGTGTAATTATACATATATACAGTATATATTTTATGAGCGACGCCTTGACTCTATGGGCCTTCATTCACTCAGCAGTTTGGTCTGACAGACCCTCTAAGCCGATCAAACACACACACACACACGCACACACACACCAAGATCAGTGACGAGCCTTAAACTGTGAAGTCATAATAATCCCAGCTTTTCTCCCGGACTTTCGGAGTTCTGTCAGACTTCCCAAGTGTGACGCAGAGTTACATTTAGCTGTTTCTCCAAAAACTTCTACTCATCCACCGCTGGTATCTGATAATTAAACCAACTCCCTGCTGCGGCCTGGAAAACACTGCTGAGAGGACAGCAAAGAAACAGATGTGTGTGTGTGTGTGTGTGAGAGAGAGAGTCTAAAGTGAGAGAGCTAAACACCTTTAGTTTTTTTTACAAGGCTTTTCATCAAACTAAAGACCTTTGAAGATTATATGCAGGTCAGTTGCTGGTCACACTCAGATTTGTGCAGCTGCATCCAACCGTAGTCTTATTCATTCCCCTAACCCAGCCCCTCTAATTCCGACCAAATTTGCCTTTGAACACATACAGTACTTAATCACAGAGTAATGACGCTCAGGTCATGTGTCATCTCTCTGTTGGCACAGTTGTTTTTAGGGCCAATTCCCAGCTGGGGTTTTCTGGCTCACCTCTTTACCCTTCTCCTAATTGATTTCTCTCTACTTTAAGAGGAATGGCGTAAGCTACACTTCACTG